AAAAGTAGCCCCACGGTTCTTCACCCTTCACCCTTCTTCACCTCCCCGTCATGTTCTGCTTCTTCTCTTGCAGGCCACGTTGCGGAGAAGCCAGTACCGACAAAGCGCCAGTCTTCCACCAATCGCGAGAGGGAGGCGGGCGACGCGGAGAGGCATGATGGGAAGCCAGCAGCCGCGGGCGAAGACGACGAACCGGAGAGGTCAGAGTTCAACAAGGTGAGGTCATCCCAGAGGTCAAGGTCGCGATGAGGGGGTCAAGCAGGGGAAAATTACTTTTTTTTCACGGGAGCTCTTTTTCAAAAGTCTGTGGGAAAAATAACTGTCGTCAAAATTTTTAGGGGAGCTATTTTGAGCCTCACGGGAGCGATTTCGGAGGTTTGAAGAGCGAATCGCTCATCGCTCCCGTGTATTTTTTACCATGTCAAGCTTTAACTAGGTGGGGTGAGCAGTGGTCAGAGTTTAATAAAGTGGGGTCAGAGTTCAGCAAGGCGAGGCCAGCAAGAGATTGGGATGAGAGGGTCAAGGTTTAACAAGGTGAGCTCACCCAGGGGTAAAAGTTCAACAAGGTTAGGTCAGCAAGGAGATCAGAGTTCAACAAGGTGAGGTCACTTAGGGGTCAAAGTTCAACACGGTAAGGTCAGTGGGGTTAGAGTTCAAGAAGGCGAGGTCACCCAGGGGTCAATGTTGCGACGAGAGGTCAGAGTTCAATGCAGCCGCGCCATTTTAGACTCGAGACGACACTCTCCGATGTTTTACGATGTTTTTCCGACGACTTTCCGACGACCCCTGGTAACCTTCCCGCGTTTCTTCCGCACGCAGACTCACACAGGGGAGGCGAAAGACGGCACGCGCGTCGTCATGACGCCGCTGCGACAACGCAGGAAGGGGGCGCCACCAGCCAGGGTGGCCGACTCCGAGGAGGTACGCCAGCGCCTCTGGTGGCATAATTTGGCGAGCGGTCGCCGCTTTTTTGGGTGTCAGCACGTGGGTCAGTGCCGTTCACTCTGCATGTGCGTTGATTCGTGGTGTGGGGATTAGGCATTCATAATTATTGATTCAAGATTCGAAATAAGTTTCCTTATTTGTGCGTTCAACGTGCGAATGCATTAATGTAGTTGAATTAATCGTTAATGAAATGCGTAAATTAATCAAAATAATGACGGAAAAATCGAAAATTTAATGATGCATCGAAAAAATAATTACCACAACAAAATAACTAACTAACAAACTAACTAGAGCTAAAACTAATTTTTAAAGTAAAAGAAGGGTAGATGGGTGACTCATCGTGTGTAAGGTAAGATTTTTTCTTTCTAAATTCCCAGGATTCCGAAACGGAAAGTGAGGAATCGGAAGAGGAGCCAGGGAAACCGGAGAAGGAAGGAAAGGATGGCGAATCGGAGGAAGACGAGGAGGAGGAGGGAATGGTGAGATGCGCGGGAAGAGAATTTCACTGTGATGTTTAGTGGATGTAGTTTGTTAGTTAGCTGAACTTAAAAAGCTGAAACTTGTGCAAACATAATGCAAACTTACACATCTACCCAATTATAACTTAATATAATAAAAACATATAATAACTTACATATCTTTGCATTATGCGAATATAGATACGTTAAAGTGATTACGTCACCGTAAATAGTAAAAATAACTCCACTTTTTCACAAAATACAAGTAATTCTGTCCGCTTTTTTTGGTTAAATTGCTGCATTATACTTCCTATTTTACTATAATTATTGTTCGATGTGAACATACACTCGTGACGCATACATAGCCCATAGCAAGCAATTAATGTC